GAGAGAGAGAGAGAGAGAGAGAGAGAGAGAGAGAGAGAGAGAGAGAGAGAGAGAGAGAGAGAGAGCATCCGGGTTTTCAATTGATCTAACACCCCTTCCTTGTTGTCTGCTGCATTGTCGCCGCCTTCATATTTTGGATGCCTAAAGCAGGTGCAGAGGCGATCAAGCGCCATTTTGAGAAACTTGGCATGCATGGGGAGCCAGGGAAAGGGAACTACAAGTGGAAATGCCAAGACTGCGAACTGGTGTTCCCTGGGACCGCGAAGAGCTGTGCAGAGCACTTCAAGTCCACGACAAAAGGGCCCAGGAGCAACATTAACAGGCTAGGCGGTAGGCTGTCAGCGGAGGAAAGAGAGAAGAGGGAGCTGGGCCGGTTGGAGGGAATTGCGCTGGTGCTTGGAAAGGCTGTGACACCAGCACTGTCACAGGATTGCCCCTCTAACGTCGAGGGCACGTACGAACCGGAGGGCGAGGAGGAAAGCAGCAGCCCCCAACCTCTTCAAAACAGGGTCAACACAGGTCTTTCCACCACCGCTAATGTGCGGTAGACTACGCTGGAAGAGGGCGGGGCGATAATCTCTAAGAACGAGGAAGCACAACGCTCTATAGACGACTGGTTGGTTTATGGAGTCCCCTTCAACATGGTGCGCAGCAAGTATTTCTTGCGCATGATAGAGAAGGTCCGCGACGCGGAGCGGTCCTTCATCCCCGTAAAATATGACACGCAGCGGACGAAGAGGTTGGACATGTCCCGGGCGCGGGTCGAGGAGGGGGTTTTGCGGCAGCAGAGAAGTTGGGCTCGAACCGGATGCATGCTCCAACTTGATGGCTGGACTGACATAAGAGGCATACCGCACTTGAATGTCATGGTCTCCTTTCCGACCGGTGTGCTTTTTTGCCATGTGCCATGCGCTGCGCACTGCCTCGACTTGATGCTGCACGATATTGGGAAGATAGAGTGGGTTGCTGAAACGGTGACGAAGGCGAACGACATGGTGAAGTTCGTCATGAACCACCAGCGAGTCAGGGATGTTTACTACATCCATGCAGGTGGAAGACAGTTACTGCGACCCGCGGCAACGCGTTTCGCCACCAACTTTCACATGCTGGACCGCTTGAAAAAGCAGCGAAAAGCGTTGGTGGCTATGGTCACAGACGACATGTGGACAGCGACGTTGGTCCCCCATGCGCAGCGCTCGACCCTCCACGAGATGGAAGACATCATACTCGATGCAGCAGGTTCTTGGGATCTTGTGAACAAGGCAATCAATGTCGTTTACGACATTGTTTTGCTGCTGACACTGATGGATGGCAACGGTCCGACCATCAGCAAGTTTTATGCGAACATGGACAGGATAGTGGAGCGCCTGCGAGTTAACAAGGATCTGAAAATGGATCAGCGGGACGAGATCGAGGTGATGGTCATGCGCAGATGGAATGCCATGACCACCCCCCTCCATTGTGCAGCCCTGTTCCTGGATCCAGAGTACAGGTCGTCTGAGCCGCACAAGGATGCAGAGATCCAAGATGGATTCTACACCTGGGTGTACACATGGCTCAAAGGGGCGTCACAGAAGGTGTGCGACCAGGTGGAGTATGAAGTCAATTGTTGGGTTCATAACATTGGCAAGTTCAGCTCGCAGGTGGCTATGGATGCAGCCCGTATGCAGAACCCTGCGGCATGGTGGAAGCGCTGGTGCAATGAGCCACAACACTTGCAGCCCCATGCCATTCGACTGTTGGGGCAAGGGTCGTCTGCTTCAGGCTGCGAAAGGAATTGGAGCCTTTTCGCAGCAATTCACACCAAACAGCGCAATGGCCTGGCCCCGGAGACAATGCACAAACTGGTGTACAGCAAGTGGAACATGCGGCTGCTTGACATGTTGCAGCAGATGCTGGAGAGGGCCAAAGACCTTATTGAATTGGATGACCCACCGACAGAGGAGGAGCAAAAGGAGGCCAAAGAAAGAGTGAAGGTGGCTGAGCGACGATTGAAGAGCCTTACCTCAGCTGGTGACAATGTTGTTCCACCTGCTGATGGCGGGGATGATGAAGATGGGGATGAAGCTGTTGTTCCATGCCGTAAAGAATGCAACCTGGAGGAGATTGAGGAGGGTCAACACGGGGATTGCCGTGGATTGACGAAGGCAAACAACTTCCTAATTAAACGTACCCAAACAGATGTGCGAAGGAAGGCACGCACCTTGGGAACAGAGGAGCGGATGCATGCTCACAAGAAGGGAGGCGGTGACACACTGCCTCATGGTGCTGCAACGACAACACCACAAAAGGAGACCGGGACATCGTCGGCACAACCTGATTCCTCAACGCCAAAAAAAAACTAGAGGCAGGCCAAGAAAAAACCCATTGACGGATCTGGACGGTTCACATGCTGTGACTGCGGAGGGAGAGGACAACCCTGCGCAGATAACTGATAAGAACGAAGTAGAGGGGGGCAATGATGAGGGTTTGCCAAGCAGCGACCAGGGTGTGGCAAGGAAGAGGCCACGTGATGGTGAAGAGGAAGGCTCATCAGACTACCCATCAAGCGATGATGAGCAGACATTGGCTGAAAAAAAGCGGAGGGGGTCATAGCGAGTCATTAGAGAGAGAGAGAGAGAGGGGACTGCAATTTTTGGGGTGGTCATTCATGAATCGTGAATCATGAATGACTCTGCAATCACTTAGGGGCGGTCTAGAAGTTGTCGGTTCTGTTCAAACTTCAAAGCTCAATGTTAAGTTAATTCAAACTCCAAATTTTTTGTGTGTGCAATGTGCACTGTGCCCTGTGCAGTCTGCACAGTTCAAGTTGTGCATCTTTGAATCTATGTTCAGGTGTGCACGCTGCGCGGCTGCAGTGACAACACACTGCGCAATGTTCACTCAGGTAATGTAACTTTTAAGTTCGAAGCATGTATACTGTTTTTTTTTTTTCTGGAAAATATGTTGCATCCGGATGGGCATCCGGACAGTGGATCCGGACCGGTCCGGATAAACCGGAATGTTCCGGTTTTCCGAAATTCCGGAAGACCCCGGGCGGTCCGGGGTCCGATGTCCGGATTCGGTCCAGTGTCCGGTCCGGTGTAGCTATGCTAATAACTCATTGAGGTATTTGCACAATTCTTCTACGGGTTAAATTTATTATGCAATGATGTGAAGCAGCCTTGGTGTCATGACAAGAAACACAAGTGATGTTTCCACAAATGGATTAAAAAGTAGGTCCATGCAATTGATTGGGATGATGATATATTTGAACTTCATGGTGACACGAAGGCTACGTGCATTTAAACCAAGGCGACCAGTAAGCGAGTTTGCTGGATTTATTTTGAGACACTTCATCATTCACTCGGATCGGATATGCTTGGAATATACAAATCTATCAAACACACAATCTGAAAACGTAATTCACTAGCTTCAAGGATGGCTATGGAATTCCGACTTACATTCATTATAACCACAAGCAATCTGGAATGGTAGTCCTTGGTTTATGCCCGGTGGTTTTGGGGGGCCATTCAATGATATAGTTGAACTTCATGGTGACACGAAGGCTACATGCATTTAAACCAAGGCGACATGTAAGCGAGTTTGCTTGATTTATTTTGAGACACTTCAGCATTCACTCGGATTGGATATGCTTGGAATATACAAATCTATCAAACACACAATCTGAAAACGTAATTCACTAGCTTCAAGGATGGCCATGGGATTCTAACTTACATTCATTATAACCACAAGCAGTCTCGAATGGTAGTCCTTGGTTTATGCCCGGTGGTTTTGGGGGACCATTCAACGAGGGACTCGCTATCCATGGATAAAAAAGAGCTTCTTCCTATGGTACTTCGCCTTTCATTGCGTCCTTTCTTTCTGACAACATGTATGATCTGGAGGAATTTCTGGACTGTTCTAGCGGACGATCCTCGAAAGACGCCAACCGTGCAATTTGAATTGTGATCTGCGTTCTCTTCCAACCTGACAGTTGGACCCCATTTCGAAATGAGAGCATTTGGTGGGTAGGGGAGACGATGTTGAACCTGTGAGGATGATTTATGGCTCTAGGGAGATAGAAGCCTTGTTCCCATTAAAAAAAAAAAAAAAAAAAAAAAAAAAAAGAAGAAGATCTCCAGGTATCCTTCAGTATACCTGTCTCTTATACACATCTAGATGTGTATAAGAGACAGGTATACCACTGTGCACCATGAAAAATACCCATTATAACATTGAGGGTCGCGCGAGCACTACATCTGGTTTAAAGTCATGTGAACAATGGAAAAGCAGGGCTCATAAGTCGGTTCTAAGGCCATTCTGAGAACTTCAACAATCCTATCCTTGAAGCATGATACTCCTAGTGGATGCTTTTCATTCTTCTTCCCAGTTTTCAACAGAATACGAGTTGCTTCGAACACCCTTCCCTTTATAAGCTCAAGAGGCTTGCAACATTTTATTTGGCAGCAAATTGTGTGACCTTTTGTCAACCAATTCTAGTACAACAAATCAGGGTAGGTTTTAAGCAAAACACACGGACCAAGGGCAACTTGTTGATTTCCACCAAAAAATTGATTTCTTGGTTGTGCTAATTCCATACGAATTAGCATAGAGAAGTAAACTGATAACATACCCTAGCCAGAGACCAAGCTCTTTGGAATCCTCGAAATACTTTACACAACGCATCTCACTTGTTTCTATCAACCCTACAGCGCGCTCTTGAGATAAAAGTAGCACGAGGTCCGCTGAGGCAGCTTGCAAGCGCTGAAAGTTGATCCGCAAGTCCCAAAGAAAAAATGGTACAGAAAGCCCTCACCGTGGTGTTGGATATTTAACATGTACGGTCCAACGACGGTTGAAATCAGACTTGTCGCAACTCGCTCCAAACATGCATGAAAACAAATGACGCACAGGACCTGACGTAGTGCGCCCACACAAAGCTCGAAGACAAGAACGTGGCCAGGAACACAGTTCAGATTCAAACTCGTCTTGAATGGCTATGGCGCCGAGCGCCAACAACGATTCCCTCCATCCACCAGAAGAAAGCCCTCACCATGGTGTTGAACAACATGTACAGTACATCGACGACTGGAATCAGCCTTGTCGCAACTCGCTCCAAACATGCATGCAAACAGATGATGCACAAGATCTAGCGCACACACACACACGCTGAACACACTTGCTACCCTATCCTACGTGGCAGCTATGGCTGTCGTCTCCCTCCTACTAACTCATGGCTATGGTCGCGTCTTCCTCCTCTTAGCCCTCTTCTTCCTCGGGCACTTGTAGACCTCTGATGCACAAGTCGCTCCAGCAACACTTCCGCAAGGCTCACAAGCAAATGAATGAATGGATTGACGCTGCCTCTTCATTTATACTTGTTTCGTTGGTGGTCTGGCCTCTTGGCCTGGGCCCGAAATGTACACAGTTCCACCTTGGTACTTGCTAACTGGACTAGGTTAGACTGGGACTGGGTACCACTGACTAGACGAGGTAGGAATGGGACTGCCCTTTGCTGACTAGACTAGGACTGCCCCTCGCTGACTCATCTACGGACTCCTACGACCTACAAAGAGCCAGTTTAGACTAATCTAGGTTGACCTAGGACTGGCCCTTCGGAACTGTAGCTACGACCTAGACTGACCCTACGCCTACTAAAAGCTAAGTCTACGGATCAAGTCCACACGACCAAGCTATATACAAAAGTCAAATCCTACGACTTTCGTAGGTCGCGGGTTCAAATACACAGGGTCAACGGGTACTGTACACGGGTAGGGGGCAGGTCTAAGGATGAAGCCTTAGGACTGCATATGTTACGCGACATAGGTGAAAACAGTTTCACTCCCGCCGGCCTAAATCCGTGGTCCTTCGGGAAAATCTTAATGGAAGGCATGACCTTTGCCCTTTCTTGCTCTATCATAGGCATGGACTATGTCGGGAGCGGTCTCTAAAAGCTCGGTCCTTGTGAACCAGCGATCGTCCTCGGGTTCCTAATAAGCAAATCTAACTTTATATTGCTTCTGTGGACGACCTCTACCTCCAATCCTGCACACATCCTCTTCTACTATGCGGTCTATGTCGTATGTGCCATCCATGTCTGGCTGGATCATCGATCGACTCGACGGAAACTGCTGACTGGTGACACAAGGCAATAACTTAAACGCATGGAAGACTGGTATGTGTGGAGGTGTGGTGGAATTTCTATCGCATACGAAGGTTCGCCCTCTCCACCTTTAACTTCTAGGACAGGCCACGACCCTCTATACGCGGGTAACAACTTTTGTGAGATGTTCTCTTCTTGGGCGAACTCCTTTGACTTGACCCAGACTAAATCGTGATGGCCGACGATGCTTGTTAGCTTCTATCATTCTGTGTTGAGCCTTTCTCAGATTGTCGATCACTCTCGCAATTTCCTTTTCATGTTGCAATGCAAACTCGCTAGTCCCAGGTGGTAGTCTCTGTACTTGGTTTGGATTTAGTCCTTCAAACGGCCCACGTGGCCTGAAGGACTTGTGTAGCGCATTAGGAGTCCGACAAGTAGCTAGATCAACATTGTTGTTGTAAGCAATAGCTACCTTGGGAAGCATCTCATCCCAGTTAGTCTGATTGGGTCTAACCGTTAGTCTCTGGATGAGTATTTTGCTGCAGGATCTGATTCATTTGCTCAGTCTGACCGTTAGTCTTTGGATGACGGTTAGATGACATCAGCAACTTGGAGCCGTAGACTCTCATAAGTTCCTGCCAATGCTGACTAGTAAATCGCGTATCTCTATCACTATGGATAGCGGAATACCATGTTCACTTACCCAGGAATCAAAGAACTTTTCTATAAGAACTTTTCTATAACTAATTATGTACGTGCCTTTGAGGGTGACAAAACAAAAACTGCATACTTGCTAAGACGATCTACTCCTACCATGACTCGGCTTTTGCCAGCCTACACCTAACTCCTGCATCCATGAAATCGATGGACACAGACTCTACATGTCATGAAGGAATAGGCAAGGGTTTGAGAAGACCTAATGGGGCTCGCAATGTGGTCTTCTTACCTTGACATACTTTACAACTGCGAACGTACTCTATGTAGTCAGCTTTCATGTCTGGCCCGTATAGGAACGTACTAAGTTGGCTAAAGTCTTTTTACAGCCGAAGTGTCCCTCTGTATCGTGGCATCCCCTAAGATCAGCTTCCGGATCTCTTCACTATTGGGAGTACACAGTCTGTCTACGATGTCGGTCTTCTCAAACAATAACCTGTTCGTGGTGCAATAATTAGGTTCGTTGTCTGGGGCCTCCTTAACTTTCTTCAGGAGGTCACTATAAATAGGGTCCTGAGCATATGTGTCTCTCACCCTTTGTTGCAGGTCAGTCCCTATGTCGAAGTAGTGAATTATAGCTCCAAAGTAGTCAGCTCTCCTACTCATAGCATCTGCTACCACGTACTTTCCTTTAACGGGTTTGAGCTCAAAATCAAACTGGCAAATCTCTGCAGCCCACCTAGTATACTTGGGTGTCATCTTGGCTTGCGTTTTTAACCATCTTAGCGTCTCGTGGTCAGAATAAACTTTGAAGTGCCTCCCAAGCAAGTAATGTCTCCAGTGGTCTAGCGCTTGCTTGAGAGCGTAGAGTTCTCTCTCATACGTTGAGGCTGCTACCTTCTTTGAAGGCAGTCTAGTAGACATGAACTCTACGGGTTTGTACCTATTGCCATCATCTTGCTGCAACACAGCACCAATGCCATACTGACTTGTGTCTCTAGTAACGACAAAGGGTAAGGATCGATCGACTACCATGAGGACTAGATACTCTACCATGGCCCGCTTTAACTTCCTTAGGGCCGAGGTGCAGTCTTGACCCGACTTCCAAATTGCTTCTTTCTTTAGCAGTCTCCAAGGGGGAGCAACGATAGTGGAAAAGTTTCCAAAGAACTTCCTATAATAGTTGGCCAATCCTAGGAACAACCATAGTTCTGTCAGTGTACGAGGAGTTGGCCAGTCCCTAATCGCTGCGATCTTGTTGTCCTCGGGTTTGATTTTGTCTCCATCTAACACGTGGTCCACGTACAAGATTTTGATCTTGGCCCACTCACACTTCTTCACATTGACCTTGAAGTTCGCCTCTCGCAACTACAAACGTATCTAACCACAATCTGAACAAGTCGCTCATGCAGCGCCGAAAAATGCTCGATGCATTCGTGAGTCCAAAGGGCGTCACTATAAACTCATAGTGCCCATATCTAATTTTGAACGCCGTTTTGTACTGATCATCAAGGTGACAATCTGATGATACCCTGATTTCATATCTATCTTTGTGAAGTACTTGCACCCATGCACCCGGTCTAACAAGTCATATACACGTGGCAGTGGTTCTGCATTCTTGACTGTATGGCATTCAGACTCCTGTAGTTTATGCACATTCTCAACTCTCCCTCCTCCTTGGCAACAAATAGAACAAGTGCTCCAAATGGCGGCGAACTGGGCCTAATCCAACCCTTCTCGAGGAACTTGTCTAACTGCTTGCACAACTCCTCTAACTCTCTAGTAGACATTTTGTCGACTGCTCCTTTGGGAGTTCTACTATGGGGTTCTATTTCAATGTGATGTTCTAACTCTCTAGGAGACATTCTGTCGACTGCTCCTTTGGGAGTTCTACTGTCGGGTTCTATTTCAATGCGATGTTGGATTGGATGCGGAACTACTCCAGAAGGAGCCTCCGACAAATCTGCGTACTCCTCCAACAACTTAGCAATAGTGGGGTGGATCGGTATTTCTTCCTTAGGCTTAGTGACTGGCCTGACATAGGCCACGAAGACCTGCTCTTCTAGCTGTTCCTTTTTGACAAGTCGAGCAAAGGCAGAAGCGTTGAGGTAGCAATGTGCCAATGAATTATCTACTCCTGACACATGAAATAGGCAAGCCGTCTTGACACCACCTGAAGGACTAGGAAGCCTACACTCGTGCTCTCTCAAATGCAGTGTGGCTCTTGGCGCCTCTCCCCAATCCATTCCTAACACCCTATCGAATGGGAGATCATCTTCGACGAGGAGAGTCAGGGAATGGAGAACCCTCTCCACCTTCCCATCTGCGTCTAGGTGGAAACACGCCTGGACTCCCTCAACGTAGTCCTTAATCCGCATTGTGTGGTTATCTGCGAGGATACTCATTACAGGTTCCTCTAGCTTCTGGACCTTGAGGCCAAGCTTCTTCTTCAACGCTTTACGACTTAATAGAACTACGGGTGGCCCCACTGTCTATGCTCTAGCACTAAATATTTCTACATCTGCAATCAGTAGATGTCCCTTACCTTCCTTTTTCAACTTCGCCCAGGCCAGCATCCTCTCCTTCAACTCTTTTGCCAGACCTGTGAGGGAAGCGCTTAGAGAGACTCTAACACTAGCCGTCTCCGGACAGCTAACTAGACGCTGGCCAGCAAACTCTGCCTTAGACATACAAGGAGTGGGAGGTTCTACATGGCGTGCACACTCATCTCCACGCAGTCTAGGGGTAGGGGCAATTGCTACCTCTACCGGTGGTTGCCTTTTGCTGCTCCAGAAGCAGCATTTCGAGCATCCCTGTATCTCGGGCAGAATTCGATGTGCCTAGGGTCACCCCAAAAATGCTCTGATAGACTACAGTTCCTCTAGCTTCCAGACCTTGAGGCCAAGCTTCAACTTCTTCAGCGCCTTACGACTAATATAACTACGGGTGGCCCCACTGTCTATAAGGGCCCCTAGTCCACCACTAAATACTTCTACATCTGCAATTAGTAGTTGTCCTTTACCTTCCTTTTTCAACT